AGTCGCCATGACCAGCCCCGGCTGAACAGCCCCCGCCTCAGCAAGAGAGCCACTCGCCCGCCCCAGACGCAGCAGGACACCAGCCAAGACCACGCGCGCTGATTGGCTCCGCGGGGCCGGACGCACCCTTCTGACGCACAGGAGGGTGGTGCGGCACGTGACCTAGGGAGCGGCGCAAAAGGGGAACTTCCGGCGCCGTTCCCTGACGTTACGACGTGCCCCCCCCCAGGCAACCACCATTGGCCACTCTTGAGCTAGGCCCACCCCCGAACGGCACTTCCGACGGCTTTTAGCTGCCCCACGCTTTGGCAAGAGTTTCGCGACCCTGTTTTCTACTAATAAGACCCGTGACAAAATATAAAGAATTAAAAACCTGGAAGCCCGGTTTTTGCTTCAGCTGTGCACCCAGCTGCATGTAGAGGAGAATGTTTAAAGCAAAGCAAAGCTGTTGCTTATATACTGCCCCATAGTGCTTCAAGCACTCTCTGGGCGGTTTACGAGTTAATTATGCAGGCTACACATTGCCTCCCCCCCAGAGACCTGGGTACTCATTTTACCGACCTAAGGAGGATGGAAGGCTGAGTTAACCTTGAGTCGGCTACCTGGGATTGAACCCCAGTTTAACCACTGTGCCACGACTTTATCTGACCTCCTTTGCAAGTTTAGCCAATAGTCTGGTCCTCTTTTGGAAGCAGCATCTCAGGCTTACTAAGAGATTATGGGAAAATTCATCTTTCAATAGCGACATGTGCGCCACGACTTTATCTGACCTCCTTTGCAATTGGTGCCATTTCAAAAGAGTTTATATATTCCAGAGTAAGGTATATTCTCCCACTTCAAGGGGTCAAATATTTGAATGTTGCCTCTTAAATAAGAATCACTTATGAATAGGGGCTTCCTTACAAAAATTCTAACCACTATTGCAGCTACCTTAGTGTAGTCTACATAGAGAGGGAATTGATATGTCATAAATTGAAACTAGAACCTTTTGCACGGAGAGATCATTTTTTACCGCTGAAGTGCAGTCTTTTCTAATAAAACAAACTTCTTGGTTCGGTAGTTCATTTCCAAGAAGGACCAGAAAACAAAGTAGCACAAAGACAAGGATTTAGTTTCCTAGATGTAAATAATCATCAACATTTGGCAACTAAAATCAAGATTATGGCAGCGCCACCATTCATACAACTTCCCTAGCGTGAGCAAAATTGACATGCAACTTGTATAGTTTTTGTTAAAAGCATCCCAACCTTCTAGGTCTCAAAGAACCCCCAGAAGCTTATTACTGCAAGAATCAGCAATGATGCACATGGATGCTACAATAATATTTTATTTAAACAGAATGAAAGCACTTTATTCTCCCCGTTTCTCTTCTTGTGGTGGCTCATACTGAGCAATCTGCAAAGAAAAGAAAAACACAAAGCTAAGGAAACACCTCCAGCCACTAGCTACTTTCCCCAGGTAGATATGTTTTGTTGTGCTACGTATGCCATAGGCTGCAATCTGCAAGCAGGAGCACATCAGCAATTTTTCACTATTCAATTTGTGCCTCTCTACAAAACTAAGGAAGCTATTTTCATGCTGAAAGCTGACTTTAACAGTACATCTGACTGGATATTTTTCTTGTTATTAGTTTTCGAAACCGTGCCGGGTATTCTCAAGTTAGGTCCTGCTTGCACATGGAGTTTTACATCAGAGTAGGAGATCCCTGCATCTACAAACCGAATTTGACCAGCTGCAGGATAAAGTATTTACAAGCCATAAGTGGTTGTGGATATTGTTAACTTGTACCTTTGCTTTTAATTTTTTGTTTTCTTCTAGCACAGCCTCATATTTTTCTTTCAGTTCTGCTACTTCCAAGCGAAGAGCCTCCACTTCAGGATTTTCTGGAGCAGCTGCTCCCAAATGATGTTTCAGGAAGCTTGTAGCCAGCAGTTAAGACTCCTGTTTGGTTTGAAAGCAACTGCACAACCCTGTTGTTACCCTTCCCGCCGGTAAAGCGGACCCCCTCACCCACCTGCAGGGTCACTCAGGCCCTTTCCTACCTGCCCTCAGCTCCGGACAAAGCTAATTGATGGGTCCGGATGCCAGTCAGGGCGGGGGTGTCCTGTACCACAAAGCGGTCGGAAAGATTGC